GCTGCTGATTGTAATTGTCACTCTGAAAGTGACTCACCCTTGTTTAGCTGCACGCTTTTGACTGTTAAACCGCATGAAATGATTCCCTTCCAGGCACACACGAGTCATGTTTGCGGCTCAAGTAGTTATGGTGGGAGTCAACCCAACTTCTAGTCGATTGTAAAATGTACTACGCTTGAACTGATTGCAGGGCAGTTGTGATCATTCTTCATCATTATAGTTTCACTTGTTGTACTTATATTCTCACAATAGAAATAAGTTTTCCCTGAATTCACCCTAACTATCTCCTTTACTTGCATATTTTTCTCAATCAGACTTGGTTATTTCCAATATTCATTTTCAACTTTGAGGAATTTTATGGAAGTCTAGGTGGACCAGTAACTACCTCCTGTCCCTCATACCGCATTGAAGTAATATTTCATATATATATCTGGATATTTCCATCCTTTTATCAATATAAATTCCTATTATCAGTTTTCAATAATAAGTTTTTTGTTTTGCTGTTGTTTTTTGGAGGGCATTCAGCGTGAAAGATGGTCTCTTGATAACTCTTGTTTATTTTCATCAAATTCTATTTTTCCCTATTCAATAGGAAATATTTTTTATTTTTGCATATTGAGGAAATTTTTGTTATCTTTGAAGTTTTTCGAATTGTTATAGTTGACGCTTAACAGTAGGTTTTCCTAGTTGTTAGAGGAACTTTACTGTAAACCTGTAGTGTCTAGATGTTTTGTATTATGAATATGTCATTTTTAAAGTCCCGGTGAAGCCTCGTTTTGTAAATAAGATCAATATAAAGTGGTGAAGCTGTTCTTGTCTTATTCAATCGACTGTTTCGTTCAATAGGGGCATGGTGAGAGTGCTTACTAAGCTGCACTACGAAGCTGGCAGTGCTGAATCGTGGTCCCAACTTTTACGCTGCTAGCGGCTTCCCCTTTTCATACGGATTTCTTTTTGCTAGTGGCCAGTGCTCTGGAGTGAACGAATAATGGAGGTGATAGACCAGAACTACGCAAAGAAGGCGTAGAAATTATGAAAATCGGCGTGTTCCAGGAAATAAAAGAAAAGTAGTAGTATCAGGTGCTAGAAGAGAATGTGACGACAAAACTTGCATGGAAAAGGTATTCGGACGAGCTGTCCAAATGTGTATGTCTAGAGAAACAGAGGAACAGCTGGCTAGAGTGAGCTGCCTGTGTGCAACCTGTAAGACCCGGTGCGATTGGTGCAACCTCTACAGCCTCTGCAGAGCCGTGAGAACTGGCCCACTTTTGAGAGTTACGCTGGTTGAGTCGGCTTTGGGGCCATTATTACGCCTATCTGGGCCGGCGTAATTTATGCCTCCTTATACAGGACCATCCTAGTGAAAAGTCTCAGGAATCATCATAGAAGTCTGATTCCGCGAAATTCGACCAAATAGCTGTAAACTGGATAGAAAAATTGAATGGAATCCAAATGGACGGGAAATGACTTTTAGAGGCAGTAGTTGCTCAATGGCATTCGAAAAAACACTTCTCACCTTTATTGAAAAAGCCACTTAATGAAGATCCGGAAGATCGGGAGGTTTTCGTTGTCGTGACGAGTTCCTGTCTAGTCTATGACCCCAGGGCCTCGCGTGCGCCCCTTGCCGCTGCATCGTACCGCCCAGATTTATTATATGCCTACATAACCAGAGCTTCCACACATGATCTCGACCATATGTGATCGCATCGCACCCCTACCATTGATAGCGATTTGCTTACAATTCATATGATGCGTGAATCTGTTTCCAATATTCAAAAAACAAACTTTATTAAATAACTTGGGCCTGAATGCTCTCCTGGCGTTAAATTACGGTTAAGTATCCGTTCAAATTCGCTTAAAAATAGCGAACACCTCAACAGACGTGGGGAAAAGCAAGAACAAGGCACACAAATACAGAGACATAACCGTGCAAAAAAGGAGATTATTCTCAGTATAATATGGAACTTTTTCTTGAATGATTCATTTTTGATTGTATATCTTAAAACAAGACTTTGACTTAAGATGCTTATCCTCCATTCAAGGAATTTTGGACTTTGTGCGCCCATCTCACTTTTTTCGAGTAGCCTTTCCCATAGTGGATTTAGGCTGCACATTACCCATTTTCGAAGGGGCTTTTCCCATGGCGGATTTTGGCGGCTTTCCCATAGCAGATTTGGGCGGGACATTGCCCATTTTTGATGTGGCTTTTCCCATAGCGGATTTCGGTGGTTTACCCATAGCGGACTTCGGCGGTACATTGCCCATCTTCGAAGTGGCTTTTCCCATAGCGGATTTCGGTGGTTTACCCATACCGGATTTTGGCGGTACATTGCCCATTTTTGAAGTAGCTTTTCCCATAGCGGACTTTGGCGGCACATCACCCATTTTTGAAGCAGCCTTTCCAGCTGGCTTTCTGTCATCTTTGCCTTTCTCCTTTTTTCCTGCTGATTTTTCTGGAGGCTTCTTATCATCATCTCGTTTTTTATTCTTTGTCTTCGATCCATCCTTGGATCCTTTTTTACCTTTGCCACTCTTCTTCTTGCTTTTTTTGCTCTTTTTCTAAATAGTTGACTTTTGTTCAGCCAACCCTGAAAAAAGTTACCAGAAGAGCTTTACCCTTGATGAATGCTTCAGCCGTTTCTTACGAGTTATCCAAACGACCAAAACAGCAGCAATAATTCCAAGAACGAGCAATAAGCCTATAATCGCTCCTAATAGAAGCGGAATCCTGGAAACAAAGGTATGACTTTGCTGAACAGACCTTATTTGACTGATAGTCTATTTTGTTCGCATTCAGGCGGCAAACACTAACGGTGCTGGATAACTGGGGTGTGGACTTCTCCCCGAAAAAGCGTCGCTCTCGCCGCATCCGATCGCGCGATGTCGCGCGGTATGAAGGAATATTGGAATTCTCAGTGTTAGGATACGCCGTGGGAATTTGGGGAGAAGTGGATACTTCCGAAGAACTGCATTGCCCGAGTAAGGTAACGTCAACCCGGACAGCGTGTCCTTTTCCAACAGAAAACCAGGTGAAAAGTTCTCTGTCCCATCTCCCTATATCGAGCATGTGCATCAAGTTGGAACGCAGTGCACTTTCAGCTGTACTATTCTGCTATCGACCAAACTAGGATACGCTGCATGTGTCATGCGCGACTCACACCCCGCGCTTACGAAACGACCGCATTTTAGTGCTTGGAGGGTAGGCCCACCCAATTCGCTATTTCCTCGAAAGTCTAATGCTTATTCTTCTCCATTATTAAAACCCCGCGTCGTCGCAGGACCCGCCGCGCTTATAGGCTGTCGCCGTTCCCTACGATGTGCAGCACTTTCTGCTGTCATTTCGGCTCCGGAGAGGTCCTTCTTGATAACGTGCCGCTACCTTTTCTTTCAGGTTCTTCGCTCCTCCCTCGCCCCAAACGCCCGTTTCTACCAAAGACTGGGCTTTCTACCAAACACTGAGCCCCAGAACATTTCTAGAATTTTCTCAAAGAGCCTCGCATAGTTCCTTTAACAAAGCCTGTACGGTCTCGAAATGACCTGTGTCTTCAACTTTTTTTCAAAAAGCTGGCCGAACACCAGAGTCCGTTCTGAGCTGCTCGGAGAAGACATCGAAAGAAGACAGTAATCCTGTTGCTGGGCACCATCGAAGGTAGCATTGAACAGCTTGTGAAAGATCCACCAAAGGCACGGTAGCGTCTACTGGTATCATCTGCGATCGACGGTGCTCTGGACCCGCAGAGAAAGGTGAACCGGGCAGTAGTTAGGCAGACGATATTCCACTGCAAGAGTACTGGCACGTAATCAAAAATCTTTCAGGCTACTCTCCTGTAATGAGAATGCTTAGGTGGTCTCGCGGTCGAAAACAACCGGACAGGGTCATGGGGGCGTGGTAATGGTAGAAGGTGCCGCAGATCGGCAAATCTAATGACAACATCCAGGAACGGCGAACTTTACGACGATTATTCATATATTATTCATATATTGTCTCAAATGAAGCTCCTGATTCCTTAGGACAAGATGACAGAACTATATTATTCCTTTTTTTTACAACCTGTTCAATCTGTTGGAGTATAAGTACACCCCGTTACTTATAAATCTTGCTAGCATAGCGCATCATCAGTCGTTGAGTCAAAGTAGTATCTCACAATAAAGGAAATCCTCCACTCTCCGGAACATGTTTCGATGAGAAGCTGATGTCCTTATCGGCTTTCACTTCCTACAAAGAACAGATTTCTAGAAGCAATATGCACTACATGAAACATGTGACTCGGAAAGAACCAGCGGTAGCCAAGTAACATCAAATGGGGCAAATATTTGCATGAAATTCTCTGCAACTCTATGTAGGATTCAGCTGAGCAAAGTTTGGGCACTTTAAGCTCCTACTGGTAATGAAGATTGCTAGACTGCAAAGTTTGATCACTAACTAACCAGAAATAACTTAAACTTACAAGGGAAGGATACTAGGTCGCAGTGGCCA